TATTATCAAGTATTCATCGATCGACAGATCGCAACAAAAATCGCGTTTTATATTCCGTTTTGCAAATCCGGTGTCCAGAAGAAGTTAATTCCAACGAGAGATTCTGTTAATTCGTCTCAGAAATTCCATTTCAGCGTGGTATTCATATTTTAGCATAAATGAATAAATAGTTCCGCCGGTTTCTAGTGGTTTTTCCGATCCCCGTTCGTTCGGTATTCTCGATAATTAAATATTCCATTTAGAATATTATTTATGCGTCGCGGAGCTCGCAAGCTGTTCCCCGAACGAAAGAAATGTAATTTGCATCGAGTGCATCGTAGGTGGTGTGTCTCATTACGGCGGAGGAAATGATTGCTGGATGAATGAACCACGCCGAGTGGGTGGTTGCGATTGCCGCCAGGAACGGAAAGAGCGAAAGTGAAACGTTCCACATTCTCGATCATATTGGTAACATGAAAAATGAACGTTGGCATCGGATCGAGCACGACGATGTGAGAATATTAATTTTTTCGAGTGCGCTATCTGGTCGGATGCAGATTTTATGCGTTCGCAGCGTTCGCGACCAGCCAGACTTCGCCACGATATGCAGAAAATTCCGCGTTTAATTTATTGGAATACACGAAATTAGTAACATTGCACATCAACATAGCAATGAACGTGCAAAATCGCAATCTAATAATGCTTCTAGATTCTCTGTTTTAATAAAATATTTATACATAATTAGATTGCTGACAGGTGATACGTAGTTGTTAAAAGAGAAAGCCGGAAAGATTTATCATTTTTATTTTTGTCGAAGAATTTATTAAGGTATTACATACGTTACTATTTCTTGTTTTTAGCTTATGTTTTATTTGCTCGATTTTATGGAACTTTATGTTATACGATAGTTTAATTTTTGATTTCCTCTTATTTTGCAACTGCAATAAGAGATTAAATCCTAAAATTATTTCGAGTTTTCGTTTATATCATTATTATTATCATTATTATATCATTATTATATTATCTTATATTATTATATTATCATTATTCATATCAATATTATTCTTTGGTATTTTATACTTTTAAAATAATATATAATAAAATTATATGAAATTATGTAATAAAATTTTATAATAATATATAAATATTTATAATAATATAACCTTGCGCAGTCGAAGATTATTTAGTAATTTAACTAGATTTGAACAAAAAAGCTAAAGTAATCTTGGATCGTATACTCGATATTCAGTTTATCTGGTAAAAAATCTATGGCATATTGGACAATGAAAATTTACGAATCGTTTCAAGTAGTAAATAATGATTCAAATGTTTCATCCTGCAAGTGAAAACTGAGAAATCGCTACTTCCGTGGAGCAACCGACCTTGAATTTGACGCAGTATATTCTTTCCTAAATAACGTCTGACCATCTGACGGTTGTGTTCCATTTCCGTTTTGCTTGTACCGTGGATTGAGATAATCTGTTACAGTCAAGAGGTACCGCGATCATCGCTCAACGTGAAATAAAAACCAGAGGAAAAAGAACGTAATAAGTCGGCAAGAAATCGCTCAAGGTAAACGCCGACCGGTAGGCATGACCGATTCCCCCCTTCTTTCACCCTTTTCCTCGCTATGACAACTTCCTTCATCAGGTCTCCTTCTAAAATACCGGATGGCGTGAAAGTAAGGGAGCAGTGGTGCTCAGATCTGGAAAAATCGTCGGATTCTTAGCGAATACATTTGTCGTAGAACACGTAACGTCCGAGACATAGGTACGTCAAACAAATTCGAATTTAAATGATGATGAACAAACTAGACGATGTTTTTCAATTTTAATTATTTCAAGATACCAGTTTCTTGCTTTAAGCTTCCCTTATGAGTTCGACAAATTTCTGAACTTGACTCCGGTTCAATGGACACGACTTTTAAAATCAACGTTCATAGAGTAAGATTTAATTAATATAAAAGTCTAGGATACGGTTTTAATTGCTTAAAAATACCACATAAGTATGACATTTTAGTGCCTACACTGTATAGATAATAAATTTCTAAACACCACTCTACGCTTACAAAGTGTGCGATAATATTTTATTTTCATCATTATTGATTTCAGCGAATTAAAAATACAAAACAGTAAAGCTTCGATTATTCGGCCTGAACGATGTGACATAAATGTTCGGATAATAGAACAGTTACTTACGAATTAGTGTACAGGATTACGTCTTTATTGATTTATACAGTATTACAATGGAACGTTTTGGGATCATAGAGAATTCCGATATCGGAGACGCAATTAAATTTTAACAAACTTTATATTTCAAAGAATTTTTACAGACTCCCTAAAATCACAAATATAAAAGAAATCTTCAACATCTCTCAGAAATCCGTTCCACGTGTTCCTTCCCCAAATTCGCAAATCGCAGACGCGGCATCTGCAATTTTTCCAAAGAGCAGCTATAAAATAATTCCATCGAACAAATAACCGCAAAACAGTTCTACCGAACGCACTCGGAAAAACTGGCCAATTCCGCGTAAACCGTTTCCGTCACTTCGATACCAGTGCGAAGAGCCACCGATCAAATGTATTATTCAAATACCGTTTGCCTAGATTGCGAGTCTTACGCAAAATAAAAATTATCTGCGTCAATTGAAAAGAAGCAGTAGCTTCCATGCCTGTAAACACATTCGAAATAACGTGTTAATTATTTTACACGAGGTAATTGTGAAATTCTTCTTGGAAATTATATGATCTCTAATTATCAACTCTGAGTCTGATTTATGCTACATACTTCTGTATTACATATTGGGTTGGCAACTAAATAATTGCCGATTTGTTCAATGTAATAAAAAATTTTTTTTACTTGGAATGAAGTTTCATCCGTAATGTATTTTCCATTTTGTTCGACGACCTTTTTCCATCTCTCTGACAACTTGAAAATTCCACGCTCGTAGAAAGTCTGATCCTTTTCGGCCAAAAACTGAGTTAAGTGAGATTTTACAGCGTCATCATCGTTAAAAGTTTTACCACAAAGGGAGTTGTCCAGGGATCGAAATAAGTGGTGATCCGATGGCGCGAGATCAGGGCTATATGGTGGGTGTAACATCGATTCCCAAGCAATATCCATCAATTTTTGCCGAGTGGACAAAGACGTGTGCGGCCTAGCATTGTCCTGCTGGAAAATGACACCTTTACGATTGACCAATTCTGGTCGCTTTTCCTTGACCGCTGCATTCAATTTGTCCAGTTGCTAACATTCACGGATAATAAAAAATAACATAATAATAATAATAATAATAATTTTATAATATAACATTTACGGATATCATAAAAATGGGAGTGAGAGACGTCTATAACTGAAATCGGCAATTACTTAGTTGCCGACCCAAGAGAATCTTTGCGTCAATTAGAGAGGATTCACTGTACTCCGAGCCGTCGCTAGAGTTCGGTTAGGTATATATAAAAATATTTATAAAATTATTATATAATAAAAAATAACATAATAATAATAATAATAATTTTATAATATAACATTTACGGATATCATAAAAATGGGAGCGAGAGACGTCTATAACTGAAATCGGCAATTACTTAGTTGCCAACCCAATACATTCTCATTCATTCCGACAATTATGTTAAACAATTATCCGATAATAAGAAACATTTTTCTGAATAATAACGCTTTATAGTACTTTTATAGAACAATGATTTTGCGACCCATGTAAAATAGACTCATAGATAGATTCATGTAAAAATGTCTTGAATGAGCTTTCTGAGAAATTTTGCTGTATATTATGTTGAGAATTATTTATATTTGGAATAAAAAGATAACGAAATAATTCACAATTTCAAATTGCTTTTATTTCAAATGCATCGATATTACTTTTACTTTCAAATAAGAGTTCGAAATGAATTATTTCAAACAGTAATTTCTTATTTTCCTTTCGAATAAACTTTGACCAGGTCCCTTCTGAATTATTATTCCAGTAAATTAAAAAAAAAACTGAAACGACATTTTGACACTTAAAACCGGCTGTCTCGCTACGAATACAGACAAACAAGTCAGATTTACGCGTCACTNATCACATAAATCCAAATAATTTGTTAAATTATAATAGAGAGAGAGAGAGAAATTGCTGTCATGTTTGAGCAACTTTTTAACGAATTCTCGACCGAAAAATTTGTGCTTTAAAAGTACTATTAGAAAACTTTTAGAAGAAATATTAGATAGATATATTTCTAATATATTTCTATAAAATATTAGTTAGAAAGAAATATATATAATATTCTAGCTAATATTAGATAGAAAGAAATATATTAGAAATATATCTATCTAATATTTCTTCTAAAAGTTTTCTAATAGTACTTTTAAAGCACAAATTTTTCGGTCGAGAATTTCTATCTAATATTAGATAGGAATATTTTTTCTACAGATTCCTGTGTAACAAATGATGCAGATCATCCGCGTTTCTCGCCGAATCTCCCAGTTCACCTGCATCAGCCAGACCCTCGATCTCCCCGAACATTGCGCAGGAATAAATGAAAGTATAATCGTCTCCTTCGCCTGGTGAACCGTCCGGTAAACAATGCCCGGGCCCGATCGAAAAAAAATGGTGGACGCTGGTGGAATGTTCCCTCGTTTCGAGGAAGCATTCCTCGCGAGCACCGTCACCTGCGGCCGGCTACGTCGCTGGGTTGTAGGCCCTCTGACACCTGGTGCCTCGACTTTGGTGAACACTTTGGTGGGGTCTCGGGAGTCTCTAGAGACGCGCGAAACCGGAGACCTCAGTTGTCACTGCGACACCAGCGGAGGAACGTTGCGTTGTTTATTCTTCTGTGAACAAATCGTCGCCTACCAAAAACACTCATCTTTTGCCCAGTGAACGCCTCGGTGAGCCGCAGTGTCCCGTAAAAAATCAAATCCGGGCCGTCGACGCGATCCCAGAGAATCCGTTTCGTAATCTGTGACGTTCATCCGCGAAAATCTCGTCTTTCGTAAAAAAAAGAAAAGAAAATCGTCAGCTTTCGGCGAAGAAGACATTGTCGGAGTTTTGGAAATCGTCCAAAATCTTCGGCGCTCGAGACTGTCGTCGCGGTACCAAATCGGCTACAGTTCCTCCGCGAGAAATAGCTCAGAGTTTCCCCGATGATCGATCGATATTCAGTGACGATGTTTCAAGGATAATATATTGTGGTGCAATTATAATCGTGCAAAAAGGAGATCCCGATCGGCTTCGTTCGTGTGGAGTACAGCCTGCTGGTACCGCGATACTGATCACGAGGAAGCACGCAAGTTCGAACGCAACCTTGATCGATTTTTATTGCATCCGGCAACTGCCACGCTCCACGTGTTCGCTTGCAATTAACATTTATGGACGATCAATTACCGCGGTGTGTTTTCTTAGATATCTAGTTCACCAGTGCTCGCGGATAAAATTCTACCAGTTGATCGTCGTCGTTTCTCATAATACGTTGCTCCTTTTGTTTCGTTCGATTTCATAGGGCCGATTAGAGAGAGAGAGGAGTTTCGAAGAGTGAGCGTGCAGAACAACCGCGGCTTGAAAGAACTGCGTGGTTAGTTAGTGTGTTCGTTTAGTATTTTCACTTGAACCGGCGTCCACTTGCGTGACCCCAATAGCTCCGTGGGAATCGATCAAGTTGGCGAATCTTGCGCGTCGATGGATCTCTCGCGTTCCTTCTCGATCTTCTTTGAACATTCTTCAGGTATTATCTCTGTTGTTTTACACGATCTTGATCCGCCGCTTGTTTATTCTCCGTAAGAATTGCGAATTGGTTAGGCTGGCGCGGTGTGTAGAGAAATTTATCAGAGCCGTGTAATGCAAACGTTTTCGCGTACACGCTAAGCCGACAGCTGTACTACCGTGTCATCAAAAACACATTTGGCTTCTGTGATAACGCCGGCATGATATTGTGCTCGGTAACTCGACGACTGTAAAACCGGCGTGTTATAAGCCTCGTTACAAGAAAAACAATGTATTGGGTTGGCAACTAAGTAATTGCCGATTTCAGTTATAGACGTCTCTCACTCCCATTTTCATGATATCCGTAAATGTTATATTATAAAATTATTATTATTATTATTATTATTATGTTATGTATATCTTGTCATGATTTCTATTGGGTTGGCAACTAAGAAATTGCCGATTTCAGTTATATATATAGATGTCTCTCACTCCCATTTTTATGATATCCGTAAATGTTATATTATAAAATTATTATTATTATTATTATTATGTTATTTTTTATTATCCGTGGATGTTAGCAACTGGGCAAATTGAATGCAGCGGTCAAGGAAAAGCGACCAGAATTGGTCGATTGTAAAGGTGTCATTTTCCAGCAGGACAATGCTAGGCCGCACACGTCTTTGTCCACTCGGCAAAAATTCATGGATATTGGTTGGGAATCGATGTTACA